CTTGTGTTGGCGTCGCGACGTAAATATTCCCGTTAGGTATTTCAGTATAGTGGAAGAAGTTAACTCGTCGTCTACGTAAAAATTTTACTTGTGGGGGTACGATTTCGTTGTGTAGCGACGGTTGAAAGTATAAGATGTCATTGACGTGACCGTCGTCGTAAACTTTAGCGTCGTCGAATTTCGCGCGTATGTAAAAACGGACTGAATTTTCAATGAGAATAGCTTTCTTAAACGTTTTAAAACCACGAGGCGTGTAAATTTTATCAATATGTCTAAGCTTTTATCCTTAAAACGAGGACGATGCGATCGGCAATTCCACATTGGTCGCGAGTTTTCTCGTTGTTTCGAACATTATTGCCGACGTCGAGGACGCGAGAAAAGTGGTATATTGCGGCTCTAATTTAGGGATTACGTTTTCGTGTAAGCGTCGTATCATGCAAATACCTTCACGTGAGTGAAAAGTGAAATATTCGAGTGTTATATTCACACCGCCAATGTCGGTCGTTACGCATTTACTCAAGTCATTCATTCATTGCTATTAGTTTTTAGGTTCATATGGTCAATATGATACCAATTATGTATATCAAATCTAATTTCTATTATTCTATACTTAATAGTATAATATATGCATATATTTTTCCTTTCACACACTTTATCATATCTAAGTGTTGTGTAAACTTATTTAGACCTGGTTAATGTTGTTAAGTGTTGTGTTTTATATTGATTATGTTTTAGCTTATTGACGAAACTTGTTTTGACCGTTATTAAATAATATTATTTTAATTCAATGGATTATTTGGAGTTTCCCTTTAGAGAAGAATGTCACAAAACATGAAGCAAATACTGCGACATGAGATTTATCCCGCAAAAATATTTTGAATACGTTTTAAAATCAACGTATTTAGGTTAATTAGGTAACAATATCGATTAAACATGAAGGCAACTTATCCTCAAATAATTGTTGTAAATGATGATAATGGTCTTCTTCATTGCGACTTGCTTGCTAGTCTTGCTACGAGAGTATCGTCTAGATATAAAAAAGGAAATTTAAGCCAGAAAGAACTTCGTTTATAAATCGTTGGAAGGTTTGTGCAGCGTTGCGTATTCTTAAGGTGGTAAATGAGAGTACTCTTCGGCTGGAGTCCGATCGAAAACTACGTAGAAAGGAACGACCGTTAGTACAGTCGTTACAATGTGGAAGCTTTCGGAAATAACTATATTCCTACTGCAGGGAAAACAATTTAAATGACAAGGTTAAGCCTGGCTGGTTGGTCTTCTGGCATTAACACAACAAACTAACAAAATCCATATTAAAGTTATTGAAATTGAATTAATGAACAGAAAGACCACGTTAAAAGTTAAAAACCTGAAGTAGGTCGATTTTCCCAAGAGTTTTCTACAGTTCCTACATTGTAACAACTCGACCCCCCCGACGGTATCCCTTTCTACGTAATTGTTTCAAATGGGTTCAATTGTTAGAGACAAGGTTAACACCACGTTAGTCAAGCACACGTCAAGAATGGCATGAAAAGCGTTATTTCCTTGCCGCTTTAATTGATTATTTGAAGCAAATACTGCGACAGGAACAAAAACAAAAATGTTTTGAATACGGTTTGAAATCGACATAGGTCATTTAAGTAATAATATCGATTATACATAAAGGCAACTTGGTTTATACAAAGTTTTTGTAGTGAAATTTAAATGCGGTCAATAAAAACTCTGAAGAATTCTACTTAGAAAACCAAATCGGAGGATTACTTACCAATTATTATTTCTGTCTTGGAAATATATCAAACCCTCCTAAAACATGAGAGCAAATTTAAGTACAATGGAAATAATCAATTATAATTACTATCGCAATAGTTGTTTTTCAGAAAATAATCTCTTGGTTCTGCAAAGAACTGATCTTATTGAGGAGGAGGCCTTTCGGTATGCGGCTACTCCTCCACCCAACTACCGAATCCAACCCACCAAAAACTAGCACTACTCCCCTACATAATCGAACACAGCTCCTGCCGCTAACCAGTTCCAATCATTCATATGGATTTATGGCTGTCATCCATAATCCTATTCAATTCTCCTTTACCTTCTGTCTCTGTCTTCTCCTCCCTTTCGGACACTCCTGCAAGATATGCTGCAGGGTGTCCTCACTCACCTCACACAGACACATCCCGTTCATATCCCTCTCAAAGATACATTGAATGGACCATGCTCCGTCATCAGCGGAATGCCCTTACCGAACATGGCCACACTCTACACTTACTCCCTTGACTCTTACCGTCTTACCCGCTCTCCTCATCCCTACATCATCTCTAAACTCTCATCCCAATTCCACTATCTTACCCATTTTCTTCGCCCTCTTAAATACTTTCACAACATCATTCACCTCCACACTTCTTCTTTTACTCATTATCAACCACTCTACCGCTGTCATATTGTCGTTACACACCATTAAAGGCCAAAGCTACGGAGCTGTTAACGAAAAAGGCGAAGATTCAGAAGTCGAAACCACCGACATCAGAAATGGTTAACGGCGCTATTAAGAATCTAGGTGAGCGCGGCGGTTCTATCAAAAAGTACACCGTTTATTAAGAAAATTCTTCAACGCTGCCATTGTTTGGGGTGCTCTTATCCAAACCAAGAGCAAGGGAGCGTGGGCGACATTATGACCGGCGAAATCCTCCGCGAAAAGAGCACAACAGCCAAGGCGAAAATGACTCCGATTGACGAAAGAAACGAGACGAACCCCCCTGTTACGTCACCCAAAGCAACATCAAAAGCGCAAAAGACCACCAAAAGTCTTTCAATGTGTGCAAAGATAGTTTACCAGTGATGTGGCGCTGTAACGCTAAGGCATGGGTAACTCGCGATGTGTTGTCGTTCTCGATAACCCACCGGCACATTCACCAGATTTAGGAGCAGAAGTTGGATGGATTACGATGACATATCTGCCACCTAAGACCACCTCCCTTATACAACCCACGGATTAATTGGTTATAGCCATGAAATATATATATATATATGGCCCATTGAAAACGAGCTGAAGGCCTGAAACACGTCAAGTTTGTTTCTCAGGAGGGCCACTTTTGAAGCAAAATTATTCCCCAAACTTTACCCTCCGAAGCGGGGTGTCGGGGAACATTATAAAGCAACCAGAAGCGCACGATTTCTGCCGTGTCCTTGGGATTATTGTCTTGTTAAAAAGTAAATGATCTCGCTATCCAAAAATTTCTAGCACTTTCTAATCAATTATTTTTTAAATATCAAGGTAATATCGTTTATCCATGATACCATTTATAAATGTCGTATTGCCTGCACGAGCAGCTGACATATATGTACACCCACAACATAGCACTACCACCTCTATATTTTACTGTTGGGCACAAATTTTCTCGTTTTGAATTACGTTTTCGCCAAACTTTGGTGCGCGAATCACAATCAAATAAATCAATTTTTTCAAGTTTCATCATTTGGTTAATTTCCAAAATTCATCGTCTTTAGAAATGTGTAATGTACTGCACTGACGAACGAGCTTTTTTTACAATTTGGCTAATTTCACCTAGTGATATCCTATCTTTTCATAAACTAACAATCAAATCTCGAATCCTTTGTGAAATTTGGCGGTTTCTTATACTCATTTTTAATAAATATCCAAACATTGAATGGCACTAATACGAGATCAAACTACAGTAGTCTGTTTGCAAGAACATACGCGTCTAGGGAATTAAGACAGTTTAAGAATGGAATTAAGAATCTAAGGTAGTCGGTGTGTGTAAAATTTACGCCTTTTCTTGTATTTACTTTTTTTATAAATCCCAAAAACGTTCAATTTGGAAATAAATGTTACAGTTCGGATTCCTTATATTTCTTTATCAATCCCAACAAGTTTTTGATTACCTTAAAGAAGATACACCTTCATCTTCTTTAACTTTTATTGTACAAGTTTTAAAATTTAATTCGTACGGAAACTTTATTGAAGCTTTCGTTGTGATCATCAATATTTGAATGCATATGGAAGCAAATTAAGTTTAAATTATTTAAACATCATAATCTTTTTTTTTAATTACTAAAATCTTATATGAAATAATTGAATTTATTTTATATAAATTAAAAAAGAACTTAATTTTTTTTGGATTAAATCACATCTTAAGTTCACATTGAAAATTTTACACGCTATTACGTTTAGAAATTAGAAAATGTACATTATCCGAAGTCCATACTGAAAGAGCATTTTTGCTTTCATAATAAACACCGATTGAAGGGAAGCAAAACGAAAATTCTTTTTCATAAAACAAGTGATTGGTTCTGAAAAGAACCGGTCTTGTTGGGAAGGTTTGGTTGATTGATGCAAATTAGGCTCTTTCGCCGCGAATGCGCCTAGCAAGCTGAATGTCTTTCGGCATGATGGTTACTCGTTTTGCATGAATTGCACACAAGTTCGTATCTTCGAAAAGTCCGACCAAGTAAGCTTCGCTCGCCTCTTGCAAAGCCATAACGGCGCTGCTTTGAAATCGCAAGTCGGTCTTGAAATCTTGGGCAATTTCTCTAACCAAACGTTGGAAGGGCAACTTTCTAATTAGAAGTTCGGTACTTTTCTGGTAACGACGAATTTCTCGAAGAGCTACGGTTCCAGGTCTGTAACGATGCGGTTTCTTGACACCACCAGTAGCGGGGGCGCTTTTCCTTGCCGCTTTAGTTGCGAGTTGTTTACGTGGCGCTTTACCTCCGGTAGATTTCCGAGCAGTTTGTTTCGTACGAGCCATTTTACTTTATTATTAACGGGATACGTACGACGATAAAGAAAGAGGTCAGAGAGATACGTACAATGTAAATCGAACGGTATAGTTTGTCAAAGTAAACTGAGAGATCGCTCGGTTGAAGGCTGCTTTATAACGTGTTCGTGACTGTATCGGATTGGTCGAGTCGTAGAATCGGTAGGCGTGTCCATTGCGCTTCTATATAAGGGCGCGAAAAGTCCCGGAAACGGTAGTCCCTAGTCGATGCTTGTAAGTTTGTCGTTGTACTTACATAAAAAGAAAATCGAATTATCCAAGAAAAATGACTGGTCGTGGAAAGGGAGGAAAAGGTCTTGGGAAAGGAGGCGCCAAACGTCATCGCAAAGTACTCCGTGACAACATCCAGGGCATCACCAAACCAGCCATCAGACGTCTTGCCCGTCGTGGCGGTGTAAAGCGTATCTCAGGATTAATTTACGAAGAAACTCGAGGAGTTTTAAAGGTTTTCCTTGAGAACGTTATTCGCGACGCTGTCACGTACACTGAACACGCAAAAAGGAAAACCGTCACTGCTATGGACGTCGTTTACGCCCTTAAGCGGCAAGGTCGTACTCTCTACGGCTTTGGGGGTTAAGAAATTTAAATTATGTACCTATTTTAATTTTGACGACGACTGTTCTGTATTCAACACGACCACCCGGTTCTTTTCAGAACCACTATATTTATGAAAGTTAAGGAATATTTTCACATACAATCCGGACAATTACATACATACGTAATATGTATGTATGTATATTAGGTTCATTCCAACCACGCTTTAGACTTTTGACGGTCACAAGCCTGCACAGTTAAAAAGTGCTGCTGCCTTGAAAAGGATGATCCGCGACGTTTTGTCAAGCGTTCCAACCACAGAATATTATGTTATTCTGTGGTTCTAACGGCCGTCGGTCGGACAAGTTCGTGTACCTGGTCTCGACCAAGAACGGTTCACGTCCTTTGGCGCTTGCACATATTTCATTTCCAATTGTGCAGCCTGTCTGTTATAGTTTCTGATATTTCTGGTGGTTTTTATGACTCTCAGAAACAGTAGTGGCACTAATTATCACCCCGAAAAAGTACCTCGACGTGATTTATGATAGGCCCTCCTACGAACTATGTAGGTCCAGGGGGCCGCACTTCTTTTTTTATTTTATTTGAAATTCAACAAAATAACATTAGAAAAGAAAACTTATGCCCTAATCAAATATATAACGCAGACGAGTCAGCTTTATTTTATAAGCTTCTTCCAGATAGAACTTTGGTGGGATTCCACGAAAAACAGCACCAATGCCAACACAGAAGGAGACCGTAAATTAAAATTGCACGTTATTGGTAAAGCTAAGAATCCACGTGCCTTCAAAAACAAAGAAATACCAGTCATCTACAGATCAACTTCAAACGCGTGGATGACCTCGATACTTTTTAAGGAGTGGTTTACGAAATGTTTTGTGCCAGAGGTGAGAAAATATTCTCAAGAGAATAACTTACCTGGAAAAGCGTTGTTATTAATCGATAATGCGCCAAGTCATGCTTTAGAAACCCAGTTAGTTAGTGACGATGGATTAAAACGCAAAGAATAAAAAAGGTATAATTCAAGAATCGTCGATGAGAAATCACTCAAATAAGCCGTTACAAATTAAACGAAAGTACGGAAAGGTATAAAACTTATCGAAAAATAACTTTAACCCACCAGTAATATCAATCCTATCCTTTTCTATTTTCACAGCCAACATAACACTAATCCGATAAAATGTATGAAAGAATTAACAATTTGTTAACGCATATTTTCGGGTGAAATACCCTTGTTTCTTAAGTTTTCGACGCACAACGACTAAAATGTCGTTGTTTATAGTCTCCGATATTTCTGGTGGTTTTTATGACCCTCAGAAACAGTAGTGGCAGTAATTATCACCCGGAAAAAGCACCTGGACATAATTTATGATAGGTCCTCCTAGGGAACTAGGTCCAGGGACGCACTTCTTTTTTATTTTATTTTAAATTCAACAAAATAAAACAGAAATGTAGTAAAGAATATAAATTTATGTAAATTTACTTATACTTAAATGATTTTAGAAAAAAAGCAAGTATTAATTCATAATATAAAAATTAAAACATATTTTTTATAATTATTTTAGAATTAGTGTGAAAAGATAATAAATTTTATAATAACAATCATAAATTATTTAAGCAAATGTACTTTTTAGATAGATTTAAATAAATTGTTGTATTTTCACACAAAGTAATGATATTTAAGTTTTTAAATATTATGTTATTGAAATTTTCGTTAATGTGGACCTGAACAACTCACGCCAGAGTTTGGGATTCGTAAACTACCTGTATACAACCCCATCTTTGTTCGTTATATGACTGCAATTAAGTCATAAAAACCACCAGAAATATCGGTAACTATACCATCTACCTGAAAAAGTCGGGTTGGAGGGACCGTCGAAAAAAAAAAACTTTAACATTCAGATCCACACGAGCAAGCAGGTAGATGGTAAATAAAGACGTTTTTCTTCAAACGTCATTAAATGACAACTTTGTTGTCGTGTTTACACGCGGTAGAAGTAAGTCATTGTTGCATAACGACGGTTGGTAAGATCAACATAGCAAAAAAGTACTTCAGCGTTATGGCGCTAAAGTAAATTTCACTTTAGCGCCATAACGTTGAAGAACATTTCACTTTAGCGCCGTATTATTTGCAACGTTTGAAGAAAAAATACTATGTTTTATTCGGAAGAGAAGCAGATTCGTTTGTGGCTGGTCCGTCATTGCCGGACTCACTTCGTTCGTCCGGCAAACTGTCGGACACGCCACAATTTTAACGGCTCATCTGTCATTAGCGACTCACTGCGTTCGTCGCTAAGCGACAGACCACGCCATAAAAAGCACTGCTTCTCTTCCATATAAAACAATATACTATTTAGTTATTGTAACCAAAAGAACAAGGGTATTTCACACGAAAATATGCGTTATAGTATCAACAAGTTTCATTTTTACTTATTGGTCTTATTGGTGTTGTGTGCGTGGATGTGGCAAAAACGATTAATAGGACCAGCGCTAACCGTGGTGCTGTGAAAATACATCGTTATCGTTGTTGATGACGTCACATGGACACTTTAAAAATCGAAAGTTATTTTTCGGTATCACTTTTCGTTGATTTTTTAGCGACACGATGATTCTTATAAAATTCAACACAAAATGTGATTCGTATTAATATCTTGATATTACAGGTCATGTTTAAAATATACATACATACATACGTATACGTATGCTACTTGAAAGAATATGTATAAAAAAGAAAATGATACATTTACACAACCGCAGACATCGATAGTTCATTATTCGACTATATTCTTTGTGGCCCTGAGAAGGGCCGTTTTGTTAATATGGTGTGACCAAGTTGTAATTAAATTAAGGTTTTTTCTCGGTCTTCTTAGGTAACAAAACAGCTTGAATGTTCGGAAGCACACCTCCTTGAGCAATCGTCACGCCCGACAGTAATTTATTCAATTCTTCGTCGTTACGTATGGCCAGTTGTAAATGTCTAGGGATGATACGAGTCTTTTTGTTGTCTCTCGCAGCGTTACCGGCCAACTCGAGAACTTCGGCTGCCAAATACTCCATTACGGCCGCTAAATATACGGGAGCTCCAGCTCCTACGCGTTCCGCGTAATTGCCCTTCCTCAACAATCGATGAATACGACCAACAGGAAATTGTAATCCTGCACGACTGGATCTGGATTTTGCTTTTCCTTTAACTTTTCCACCTTTTCCTCGACCCGACATGGCTTAGTTGACTTGGTAGCGTGCCGAAAACTTCAACAAAACGTATCAATTCAGAGCGAAATACAGGTTTTTCAAATACATATACCCAACTGCGCCGACGGTTCGACCAATAGCGGCCGTCAGCCAAGCGGTAGCAACGGGAGGCGTCACCTACTGATACGACGCTACCACTTTATAAACGGTAAAGACAGGCCATTTTTATAACACTGTATACTTACTGCAGTGTACTACGCTGTGTTACTGTCGAAAATCTTGTCACCGATAAGTTTTATTAACTAATCAACGAACAACAACAATGCCACCGAAAACTAGTGGGAAAGCAGCCAAAAAGGCGGGTAAAGCGCAGAAAAATATATCGAAAACCGATAAGAAGAAGAAACGCAAGAGGAAGGAAAGCTACGCTATTTACATTTACAAGGTATTGAAACAAGTTCATCCTGATACCGGTATTTCGAGCAAAGCTATGAGTATAATGAACAGTTTTGTGAACGATATCTTCGAGAGGATAGCCGCTGAAGCATCCCGTTTGGCTCATTACAACAAAAGATCAACGATCACCAGTCGAGAAATCCAGACTGCCGTCAGACTTCTGTTACCTGGAGAATTGGCGAAGCACGCTGTAAGCGAAGGCACCAAGGCTGTTACTAAGTACACAAGTTCCAAATAAATGGCGAAATAAACATCCCCCCTCCCTACCAAACAACGACCGGTTCTTTTCAGAACCAAAAATTAGTATCTGAATAAAGAATATTATCGCAATTTACAATATTTTTAAGTTAACCCGGCGACAGTGGTTTTTGTGGTGGGTTTTTTGCATACAACCTTTGTGCTGGGGTATGACATACACTAAAATAAATTGACAGAATAAATAAAAATTCTGGTTTTTGTGTATATTTTAAGTAACTTTTATTCACTGTAGTATATCTTGATAAGGATATATATTTTCAGTTCATAGTGAGTATTTGTCAAAAAATAACGCAGTAAATCATTGACTGTTAATTTTTGTAACTAAAAGAAAACTTATTGTTAGCTAAAGAAATATTGATAAGTAGTCAAAAAGAAAGATGAAATACAGTAAAGCTTCGCTAATCCGAATCAATTAAAACCAGCTCAATTCAGATTATGGAAGCATGCGGATTATTGAAGTCATATTTAAATATTATCAAAAAAAGTCTTATAAATACTTATTTATAGATTTATTGTACTAGATAATATATGCAATACATGTTTTATACAGTTTATTTAAAAAAATCAAACAACTTTGTTTGTCGCACGCAGTCTTGTTTAAATTTCATGGCGCGTTGCCGTAGAATTCTAAGGGTTGTTACGGTGTTTAAATCGACTGCATTCTCCTCCGCCCATTGAATACATGTACTGAAGCTTTTAATAGCATTCTCATGTTTTACTTTTAATTGCTATTAAATTAGCCGATAATTTGTCCCAAGCATTGGCAAGCATGAACACAGTATCCTTAATAGAAATATTCTTCAGTGCTTTGGAAATATCGTCTTCCTCTATAGATAGAACATGTTCTAAGAGACTTTTCCGGTAATACACTTTCGTTAAACGAATTGCATTTTGATCCATAGGTTGGATAAGTGGAGTACAATTGGGTTGGTATAACGTAAACAAGTAACTATAAACTATAAAACTAAACGTGTTTCAACTTGTTTAAACGGCCACACAAAAAGACCGTTAATTCCGATTAGCGAATCTTCTAGCAATTCGGATTGCAAGGGACATAATGCAAATTTCACGTTTTCTAATTTTGTTCGGATTACAAGGGAATTCGGATTTGGGGGTGTTCGAATTAGCGGAGCTTTACTGTATTGGAAAATAGAAAGCAGAAACTGATTTCATTCATTAATGCCCGAGCTACAGTCATCACACGATACCACAGAATGTTCTAAACAACCAGTTTTTTTAAACTTTGCACATCTATAAAATGTTTTTCTGTCACTTTTCCTAGGACAAAATTCGCATCTTCTAGATAGTTTATGTCGTTTCCCCGGTGGTTCATAAACGTTCATTTCGTCTACTGGCCTGGGGAGTTGCAATTCACGTGGGAGCCTTTTATGCAGAGCTCTGATTGCTTTGTGCTCAGTCAACAGTTNATTGATTACATATTATATATTGGGGTTTCTTTAGCTATGAGACTCTTGTTAAACTCAGGGTTTCGGGCAAGTTCAGGTTCAAAAAAAAAATAATAAGGTTCAACAAAAAATTCTTTTAATTAAACAAACAAAATTAACACGTTTTATGAATAACGAAAATAAAATTGTTTTTCTAAATTTACTTTATCAACAATGCCTATTGACTAGAGGTAACTTTTAAATAAAATAGAAAACTGCGATAATCGACTGAAACATCGATCTGAGAGAGAACACGTTTATTCTTGAGAGAGAGAGAGAGAGAGAGAGAGAGAGCAGGATAAAAACTCGTTATATCCGTTCTTAGAAATAACAAATGGCTGACGCCTTAAATCGCAATCCATCTCGTTGGAAAAATAGTGTTAAATAAAAGAAAGTTATACAAGATAAACTGAAAAAATCTTTACCCACAAGTAAGTATTGATAAAATTATAAGGAAACTCTTGTGAGTTGTCTTTTGAGTTTGATTCGTTGATTTTCCTTTTGTAGGTTATGTTAAATAAGAAAAATAAATTATCATCCAACTCACTGCGAAAAAGAAAGGATTGGAATTCAATGTGGTATCAGGATAATGGATTGTTTCTTGGTTTCGGAGCACGAACTAGTTTTCTGGATTGGTTACAGGATTCCTCGTAGTTTCCGGTCTCTCTTACGGATTATACGGGATTGTCTACAGGATTCTTCTGATGGAAAATTGGACTGCTGTTCTTCGGATTTCGGGTCTCGGATGATCTCGAGGAAGTTTCAGGAGTTCTCGGAATAGGTTGTAGGTTGATTCTTTTTTTTATATCGTTGGTTAAATTGGCTTTATAAAATTATTTTAATTTTAAAGGTTATCTCTCGGAGATTTAAATTTTTTTTTTCTGACGACGTGGATTCGACGCTGGTCAGACGACGACTTTCTCGCTGCCTGTTCGCGATTTCTTTATATACCCCGGCACTCCAACTGTTTCTTCCTCGTTTCTGATTGGTTCTTAGGTTCACGCCTTTTTTCAAAATTCTTGCATTGAATTTCTCGGATTTTTTCGGAACTAACCTTCAAAATTAAATTCTTTTTCCGTTGATTTCTCTCCCTTATTCCTTTATTAATCGTAATAAAACTTCGTATTCAACGTTGTCTTTTCTTGTTTTCAGACATACATTGGAGTACACGCCAAATTTCATCAATGAGCAAAGTTAGAAAAATTCAATTTTAAATCAAGGATTTTCTCCTCAAAATAACGTTAAAACATCAAAGGATGGATGAAAAATGGGCTTTAGGAGCTGGACTATATTAATTGATACTTTTGGAAGCAAACTAAACGGTTTTAGATAAGATTTCCACCAACAAAAAATCTCTCTGTCAAAATTTCAAGGTTATATTCTCTCGGTGAACTAAACAATGGTTAATTTTATCACAATACATAAGTAAAAGAAAATAAATAAACATCACAATATATATTGATAAACACTTACCTGTGAGGTGGGGTATCGAGTAAGATATTAACTACTACAGATGCTTTAAGCTATTAAAGGAACATTTACACATCGAATTGGACACTGCCCAGATGGCAACCATCCAGGAATTCATTCGTGACAAGGCCTGTACCGAGTTTACGTAGCTCGAAAACCACCCCAATTCCCTCCTAGCGGGATTAACGGATTACAACGTTGAACACCTTCGCCCTAAACGGCCAAGGCTGCTTTTCGTCTGACGATCCAGGAATCCGACTGTCCTTCCCAATTCCACTTTCGATATCACTAAATTAATGAATACAATGTTTCCGTTAGTTTTAGGTCCGATGAAAAGGGCCACGTTCACCGTTCAAGATCTTTGATTTGTTTGTTAATATCCTCAAAATAAAGGTTGATAATATAAGTACGAAGGCTTTCACGGCTGGTGTTAATTAAACTAAAACTAGAACTAACACTAGACCTACTAGTCTTTTGAAAAAATGCTTGACGAAATGCCATGTTGCAACCTTCTTCAGAAACAAGTTCGAAGCGAAACACTTCGAACTTGTTCTGAAGTGTTTTTCTTAAATTTAAGTTAAGAAAACAAAATTTTCAGTGGATGATCACTCTACTACGTACATAAATATGCTAAAATAGCCCACCCAAAAATTCCAAAATGTCGAACTAATAACTTAGCAACGTTCACCCACGCTTCTTCTCTTTACGAAGCCTGGTGATAAAGAGAAAGACTTCTCGCTAAAATGTTTCCAAAACCGGAATTAAAAAAAAAGTTCATGAATGATATAATATAATAATATTCCCTAAATTATTTCCTAATAAATTTACTTTACAAAACTAAAGATTGAGGAAGAAAAAAATAACAATTAAACTTTAAAATTTGAATCAACACGAAAAATTAAACTAATTAATAAAAATAAGTAAATGTGGTAACGACGGTAATGTACAGATGGGGATTGTTTCAGATTCCGTTGCTGTAACAAAAAAATAAATAGAAAATTACCCTAAATAAAAAAAAATAAACCAACAAGATTAGTCGCTTGCAGAACGGAATAATTGTTTAAAATTTCTGCCAATTTTTCCAGAAATCTTCAACCATTCTTCTTAAAAATTTCAATTAGAAAATGATCTGGAGTTAAAACATCGTAATAGTAGACCCTACTAATCGGAAACGGCACACATTAAGAACAGCATAAAAGAAAGAGAATAAATTAAGAATAAAAGTTAACCTAACATTTATTCTAAAAGATACGTTTTGGTACAAAACAACATTAAAGAAACATTTCATTTCAAAAACCTTCACTCTGATATTGCCTTCTTTTAAAATAAATAAAATATTGTTTTTAAACATATTTTGTAACATTGAACGGAAACGAAAATCTAATATCTACTATAAACTACATAAATTAAAAACAAAACAACATTCTATTACGTTTCTCTTAATCACCTTAGTTTCTACTAAATAACTTTAATTAAAATTTAATTATTTATTTATGTTATATTTATTCTCTTATTGTTTTGTATGTTTCTAGCAACGGAATTCGAGATTCCTACTCCTTTCACTTTCCCTATTCGTTACGAGAGGTCGCGGATGATCGGCTAAAGTCTAGATTCCTTCTTGATATATTTCACTCACATCGTTTTGGTCAATATTACCCTTGTTTATAGATATACATAGTTATTCAACCGATGTTAGTTTGTGCACATGATACCTAGATGGCAGGGTAATTTATGTGTCGCCATTCATAAAAATTTAAATTTTACTATACGCGCCCTTACGTATTACTACGAAAAACGTAAAATAAGTTGCATATTTTTTAGTATTTCTTGCATAGAAAAAAATCGATAAAGTGTCCTTCGAGAATAATACCGAACTGTTGGAGACTATGCGTCGGTAGGTACCGATTTGTAGACGCCAAATTTTTGTAAGTAGGTGTATGAACAGGTTTTATGAGAGGAAACCATTGAGGTCTTATATATAATCTAGAGAGCGTATGTGGTGGTAGTGGGGGTAATCAGAAAGTCAGACATGTTGGATGTACCGACCTGAACTTAGCTACAGTTTCAAGTCTCTATTGTACCTACAATTATAACCTCACAATTCTCATAAACATATTGTTATTTNTAAATAATTTTAATTAAAATTTAATTACTTATTTATGTTATATATTTATTCTCTTATTGTTTTGTATGTTTCTAGCAACGGAATTCGAGATTCCTACTCCTTTCACTTTCCCTATTCGTTACGAGAGGTCGCGGATGATCGGCTAAAGTTTAGATTCCTTCTTGATATATTTCACTCACATCGTTTTGGTCAATTTTACGACATTTTGGGGGTTTTTAAAATTTTTGGGTCGGTTGTTGAACGCGATGTTCTTTGACTTATTGAATAAGAACCATATTCATTTTGTTATCTCTATCCATTTTATCCAACCCCAAAAACTTAAACGTCCATAAGTCCCTACAGATTGGGTACGTTCCTAAACACTCCCCCGCAATTTTGGTATTAAAGTTAAACTACAATTGTTTTAAACGTATTCCCGTCTTAAAGTATTCTAATCTGTCTTAACCTTTAGTCACAACCTTTGTTAGTACATCTGGAAAATTTTCATTTGTAGTACATTCCCACTTTGATTGTCTGTTAACAATACACTTCATTTAACTTTTGTAAGATTCCCTTCAAATATACTATCGCTCGTGCTGCTCTTGCTGCAGCTATACAGTATGTCCCCGGATCGAGTTACAAAGAGGAAAAAAAATATATTACTGATTTTTCAAACTTATCGCAGCATAAATAATGCGTCGGATATGCTCAAACCACTAAATCGCACGAACTTTATATTCTAACTATAGAAGTTTTTTATTCCCATTTTTGTGTAAAAAATTATACTTTTCCTAAATTAAAAACTGTTCAAGTTCAATTTACAATATGTAACCATAGAAACCAATAAAATAAAATAAAAGTTACAACTTATGTTAGTGAAAAATATACGGACAAATCAAATTAAAATATGGTCAATTAGGGTCAATTGCATAAAATATTTTAAATGTAAATTTATGTAATAACACACTATGTTATTCCTCCCAATTCGGCACATATTTGAAGACGACTTCTAAATTCTTTATAAGAAGTACGAATTTCCGCCAATGGTCTTTTATACCCAAAAATCGAAAATATCAAAAAAAATTACGTCTGCGCAAGATAGAACGATCATGAATTTACGACACCTTCTCAAAAGCAAAAAGGAGAATTTTAAAGTGATAGGAGTTAAAAAGAAAAAAAAAAGGAATATGGAATACTCAGAATATGTTGCTGAAAGAGAATACAATAAAATGTTATAAACAAACAAAATGTAAACAAAGTAAATAAACATAATAAATAAGTTTCCGAATGTATGCAACTCATAACCCATAACCCATTACACATAAACAAGTCACCCACACATAACATAAAAATTTCGGAATGTAACAACATTTTTCCAAATATCTTAAACACTATTTACAGTAAAGCGCTGAAATTTGGTACAGTATAAATCAATGTCATGTAAAATTTGTGAAGCAATTTATGAGTTGGATCGGTCCACGGGAACAATGCTATACAGACTGTTCCTAAAGTTTGTTTGCCCAGAACTTTTTTATTCTGTCATAACCCTACATTTATTTTTGCAGTTTCTAATAGTAAATTTAGTTTAGAAACGTTTATTACTCTTAGATAATATTGATAAAAATCACCATTTCTGTGTTAAATGCAAAAATGTTCTGTTCCGGTTTCAATAGTAGCACTAAAACAAAAGAAATCTAAGTTTTTGAACATTTCCTTTAGTATTTTTTATTACTTATCTTGTTATTTTATGTACTTTTTTTATTATTCCTGTTAGTGTTGTCGTTTTTTTGTTGATTTTTAATTTATTGTTTTTGGATTCTTTTATTAAACCAACTAAAAGAAATTAAAAATGTGATTTATCTAAATCTACACTTGGACATGTTGCATACATAATAGTTATGACAGCTGAGTTCGATTTTCACTTCTCATTGCCAATTCAGATTCAGATTTATTTATTTTTTTTTTTTAGTGTTATTGAATTCAGAGCCTAACATTTTTGCATTTAATGCGAAAACCGTGGTTTTTATCAATATTCTCTACGAGTGATAAAAGTTTCTAAACTAAATTTACTATTAGAAACTGCAAAAATAAATGTAGGGTTATGATAGAATAAAAAAGTTCTGAGCGAATAAACTTTAGGAACAGCTTGTATAGCATTGTTCCCGAGTACCGATCCAACTCACAAATTGCCTAATGATTTTCTGTGATATTAGTTTACACTGTACCAAATTTCAACGCTTTACCATAAATAATGTTTAAGATATTTAGAAAAACGTGTTAAAATTTCCTAACTTTGATGGTCTGTATCTTTGAGGACTTTTACTAATTCTTTTTTACATGAATTATCATCATTTTCACTCTAGTATATGTGGTTACATTTGTTCCCCCAGTCACCGAAACACCCCTGTATAATGTTACTGCTGTGCAATGGCCTGATAGTGAAAAACTTCTCCCAAAACAATTGTTATGTGCTGTGTGCTTAGCTTCAGTAGTAACAAATTGGAAAGGAAAAAAAGCCAGCAGATTAGAATTTTTATATAAACTTTATGCATTGCTTTTTTTTTTTGTTTTTTTTAAGAATGTATTAGTTTTTAGTTACCAGATTTTGATTTTCATTTCTCTTTTGATTTAAATTATTGATTGATATAAAAAAATTACTTGATTGAAAATTCTAGAGGCGAGAAAACATTATAGAAATTGCATACTGAAAATTAAAAATTTAAAAAAAAATTATATTTAATACATACCACTTGATAATAAACAAGACTGAATAAAAATCCTTTCTTCACTGCACTGGAGATGTCCAGAAATACATAAAAAATACATGTAGTACGGTTTCATCCCTTGATCTACTAAAACAACAAAAACATTCATAAAATATATTTATAATTAAACCTTGATGATAAAAGCTTGGAATATTACAATCTTACTCTCAAGTTGCGTTGGATGATCGCTTGAGAATATCCTTTTTACTTCCTTTTTGTTCGGATTTATGTAAAGGCTGAGGTCATCTTCTTTATCCAGGCATCCCTCTTAATCAATAAATAACCAGAATCCTTTTAAAAATAAATAATTAGATGGAGTTATAATTTAAAAGAAACAAATTATTACCTCAACATTTCTTTATCATACATTATATGTATGTACATCAGCAAAGAACTGTATCATTTCAGCAGTAGCTGCTTTCTCGTCCAATTCATATTTACTCGTCTCAATTATGGAAGTGGCCAATTCCTTTTAAATAAACGTAATAAAATCTAACGTAATTAATTACGCAGTAAGAAGCGTACTCACCTCAACACAATTTGGATCCATTATTACAATAACAATAATAAACGCGGTTTAAAGAAATTGAATTCCTCTCCGGTGTTTGGAGTTGTAAATACTCTTTGAGGCTCTAAATGAAGATTAAAAAAAATTGTTTGAAAATTTGAATTATGTAGAACAACCTGTACAAAGAAAACTGTCATCCATTTGCGACAACACAAATCAAAGCAATGATACCAACCGTAAATAAATAAAATTACCAACCTCAACAGAATTTATAAAAAGATTTAAACCCTTTTAAACGTTTTAACGCGTTTTAACTCACCATTTTTTCTTCAAATGGTGACCTTCTCATTTTCGTTTAAACTGAAAATACACGAAATCTCCGAAGGATTTCAAACTTGTCTGTTGTGTGAGTCACTTGTTCGCCATCCGACATTATTTTACTTTATTTTTCTTTGTTATCTTCTTAGAACCTTGTATTTCCATTATCTTTTTTTCTTAAAAGAAAAACATTACTTTTTTACTTTACTTATGCAATATTATTATCATTAGTTTTGATTCATTTCAATTTACATCCATTTATATTTTTTTGTGCTCTATATCAACTATATTTTTTTCTTTATTTACGTTTTTTTTTCGGCACATCAACTGCTGCAGTTGACAATAAATATTATTATTGAAATAAANTATACAGCGTGTCCCGTATCTTCCGCATCAGAGCATTATACGGTTGTAGAATACATTATTCTGAAGCGATCTTTCTAATAAAATTTTTTCGAAATGTTTATAATAACCGCACGGGAACTGTTTAAAGGAACTGTTTTTCGTCCAATCAGCAGATCGCAAATCAGACTCAGGTAATCGGTGCCACCCTCGGCCGGTCCGCTACGCCGATGATAACTCGTTTCCCACGTGTACTCACCAATAAATTCGTCATGGAAAGAGAAATAAACTTTTTCGATGAATCAAAGTCGTCCGTTATTGGTCGTCGTTAAACAGTTCCCGTGCGGTTATTATAAACATTTCGAAAAAATTTTATTAGAAAGATCGCTTCAGAATAATGTATTCTACAACCGTATAATGCTCTGATGCGGAAGACACGCTGTATAATCAAAGATTGTCACCAAATTCATTTCAATTTACGTCCATTCATATTTTTTGCGCTCTACATCAACTATTATTATTAACTTTTGTTTTTCAAATGGCTGAGTATATTTTTCTTCACGTCATTGGATACAGATTGTTTTTCTGAATCCATTGATGTACAATACATCCATTTTGAATATAATTTTAACAGAGAACGTTAACCTGTATATACAGGTTGTCACACAAGAACGCCGCAAGCTTAACTCTGTCATTTACCTTCCGATTTTTATGAGCGAGTTATCAAATGAAATGGTTTGATGAATATTATGATTCATGCTACAAATAAACTTTTTCCAACGCCAGCTTCAATTTCAAGCGTTATCAAGTTTTGATTTTCAAATTGCTCGGTATGTTTTTCTNTAACTCTGTCATTTACCTTCCGATTTTTATGAGCGAGTTATCAAATGAAATGGTTTGATGAATATTATGATTCATGCTACAAATAAACTTTTTCCAACGCCAGCTTCAATTTCAAGCGTTATCAAGTTTTGATTTTCAAATTGCTCGGTATGTTTTTCTTCACGTTATTGATAGAGATTTTTTTTCTGAACCCATTGCTGTACAATACATTAACATTAATTGTAATTTTAGCAGAGAAAAACAATTAAAACATTTTCCGAACATTATCTTAGTCACTTCTGCAATACTGTAGTGTGCCATAGAAAAAAATAACGTGCAAAACTGATAACAGTCATTAAATGATATATCAATGCCTGAAGCAGTTGTAAATGATTATTTTTTCCCATGGCACACTACAGTATGGCACAAGTGACTTTAAGAGAATGTTCGGAAACTATTTTAATGTTTTTCTCTACTACAATTACAATTAATGTTAATGTATTGTACAGCAATGGGTTCAGAAAAAAAATCTCTATCCAATAACATGACGAAAAACATACCGAGCAATTTGAAAATCAAAAGTTGATAATCACTTGAAATTGAAAATGGCGTTGAAAAAGTTTATTTGCAGCATGAATCATAGTTTTCCTCAAACCATTTCATTTGATACCTCGCTCATGAAAATCGGAATGTAAATGACACAGTTACAGCTTGGGGCGTTTTTTATCTGACACCTGTATATTATATACAGTATGTCCCCGGATCGAGTTTTGTGATCTGTGGACAGATCACAAAAAACATAAAATCCATAAGAGAAAAGGTCAAAAACGATGACCTCATAATAACCTCATTTGCGCCCTCCATACAGCATAAAATCACTAAACACCTCAAAAAGTTTAACGTATCTACGGCGTTCTCTTCCAATAAGAAATTAGGTCATATGCTAACTAATAACAAACACCGTTTTAAGTCCGAGTTAAGTGGAGTATACAGGATCGAATGCGAATGGTGAACGGTGAACTTGACGGGCTTCTTGAGGTTCCTGGAAATCTTCCTTAACCCTCTTCATCGGATCTAAAACAGACGGAAAATATATTAGTTAATATTCGCTAAATTAGCGATATCGAATGCGAAGATTGTGATCGGTTTTATATAGGACAGACAAGCAGGAACATCCAAACCAGGTTTAAGGAACATCTTAAATGTAATAACTCGGCAATATACCAACACCCAAAAGAAAATAATCATAAAACCAGTCTCAATTGTACAAAAATACTAAAGAATATTAAAAAATCCAAACTTTTCGATTTATACGAGGAACTTCATATCTACACTGGTAATTTAGAAAACAAACTTATTAACAACATAACGGATATCAACAATTTTAGATTTTTTATAAAATACATTTAATTTCTTCGCGCGCAAGTCTATTATTCACAACGATAGGTTTTTTATTCTTTGTTAAACACCTGTATAGCACGCGTCCCATTCTTGTTTTTCCTTATTTTTAAGACCAGTCGTTCTTTAACTGTTGNCTGTCTAAATCGTGGTCTAAATGGTTCAATTTTGTAAATTCTGGAGAGGTGCGATTTACTAATTTCAGTTTGTAACGCTCTTCTTCGGAGTGATAATTTTGGAGTTTCTTGAACGGAATTTAATGCTATTAGAGAAGCAGCGTCTTCCTCATTTAGTCCCTTTGTCTGCTTCTTTATGGATAATACAGAACCCGTTTCCAAAAATATTTTCATAAGTTTGCGAGCCCCAACATGAAATATTTTTGTGACCGGGTATTGATTCACTAGTACCATAGCACAGTACTAAATAAATTCTCTCTTTCATGGTTAGCATCGCATGAAAAGACTTAATCTCACTGACATAAGTTGTAACTTTTATGGCTTTTATGGTTACATATCATAAATTGAACTTGAAAATTTTTCAATTTAGAAAAAAGTCCAATTTTTACATAAAAGTGGGAATAATTAGTTAACTTCTATAGTGAGAGTATAAAATTCGTGCGATTTAGTAGTTTGAACATATCCGACGCATTATTTATGCTGAGATAAGTATGAAAAATCAGTAATAAAAATTTGTTTCCTCTTTGTAACTCGATCCGGGGACATACTGTATACATATTATGTATTTTTTTCTGTATTTACGCGTTTTTTTTTCGTCACACCAACTGCTGCAGTTGACAATATTATTATTGAATAAAATTATTCAAGCAAAATAAACCTTTTACACAAACTATTTACGCTATAAAAACATAAAATCATTTCCAACACACATTTCTCCATAACCCCATTCCTGTAAATTTTAACCTTCTATTTTAGGGTTTTATGACATAACAATGATATTTTACATGTACAAAGAACTTTATACCTCAAATACCCTTTTTCAAATCCATTACATTTGTGTGTTAAATGGGATTCTTATTTTCGGTCAGAGGAAGTATTAAATAGAGAAGTTGTGAAAAATGACAACAGAGATTACAGAGATTAAGTCAGTCAAGTCGTAGAACCCTAAAACAGATGTAAAAAATTTACAGTTGAGATTTCCATACTAACAGAAATCTTTCCTGGACCGTTGAGAGGCTAAAGCACGCCAGCCAATTGATTAAATTTTAACCAGTGACGTATCCAAAGAACATGCAAGGTTCATTTCAAGCTTAAACGCAAATGCGCCCACCTCCACTTTAGTTTTAAATAATCGTATAAAGCTAATAATTTTAGTAATACTGCTTTCTCCAACTCTGAATTAAAGATCCTAAACATGAGTCATAAATTAGCATCACCAAACAAGGTAAAGTCCGTTGACTTTGCAATTCATATGGAAGCACAACTTTCCAAAAATCCCAATATTAAACATATCTTTGATTCTAACCACGAAGCCATTTTGAATCTAAATCTGACACAAACTATACCTGTATGTCCACAGATCACAAAAAACATAAAATCCATAAGAGAAAAGGTCAAAAACGATGACCTCATAATAACGTTTGGTGACAAAAATTCAGGTCTTGTTATCTTGGACAAGTCTACCTACGTGGACAAATCCACGTAGACGATATACTTATCGATTATGAGGGTAACGCTGCTAAACTTAGGGCATTGTACAACATCTTCAACAACATCAACAACTTAGAATTCACTATGGAAAAGGAACTAAATAAGAGCATTAACTTCCTCGACTTAAGTATCTCCAGAGATCATAATGACCATCTGTCTTTTAATATATATAGAAAACCTACAAACATCTACAGATTCGATAATTCCGAAGAATTCTTTGAATCCAACGTCACACAAAGAAGCTGTCTTCAGATTCTACTTTAATCGGTTTAACACCATACCACTCAATGATTCAAACTACATTTCAGAACTTAAAACAATTCTTAGTATCGGAACAAATAATGGTTATAGTTTCTGGGACATGCAAAACATATACAACAGAGTTCACTCNATTTGTGTTTAAGTTAGCGTTCCTTTTTCAATTAGTACTTTCAGAATGTTTTCTAAGCGACGGCTTTCGTCGTAACGAAGCAGATAGATAGGGGTTTATAACTTTGTTGTTTACCATAAAACTTGCCAAATAATACAGGGTTCTCACGTAACTGGTTCGTTAGAACTTTTTAAGGTTCCACTATTCGTAGTGGTTTGAAATTTTGGTAGCATGGGTTGTTCATTCTAAACTTTCGATCTAAAATATTTTCAAGATAGCCACCCCTTCCGGACTACCGGAAGTAGACCACAACTTCGTTATTTTAAATGGAATGCTATAGTTTTTATTGCA